AATGTTTTCAACTTTAATCATTTTATATAAAAACAATAATATTTTTGATAAATTATTATTATCATTAGATAGATCATTAAATATATTTTTATAATAAACTTATTTAGAGATGCAAATGTTTCTAATATTTTTCTATAAACCTAGACAAACTTAAAAAACTTTGACCAGTACGAATCATGTAACTTTGACCAGCACGAATCACATAACGGCTCTTTTTATGGGACAAAGTGCGTAGTATGTTGAAGATTTTTACCTAAGTATGAAGTGGACAATCCCTTTAATTTAAATCGAACCAATCTATAAGGTATGGCACCGTTATTATTTCATATCAAAATAATTTACCACTGTCATCTACATCTACAGTATACAATAACTCTATTGTACACAGGTGACCCGCGCTTAATTCATGAACGCTACATACGCTCCTTGTAAACTTATATTAGTAATATGTATAATATTCTCGAATAAACGTTAAGAGCTATCTAGCGTTTTTCTGCTGTAATAAAAAAATGCAAGGCTTGCTAATAAAATGGTTATCATATGCAGTAGCTAAGCACTGACGACTACTGACAGTCTGATGATCAACACTTGTATCTTGTCGGGACAAGCAGGAGCGGCGTTTTCTTGTGGACGGCGAGCCCTCCGGCCTCTTCCATGCTCACGTCCTCCACCCGCACCCCCTCCGGGAGCTCCCAATCGAAGCAGTAGAGCAGGTTGGCCAGCGTGAACTCCACGGTGGCCACGCCCATGGCCATGCCGGGGCACATCCGGCGGCCGGCGCCGAAGGGGACGAGCTCGAAGTGCGTGCCGTTGAAGTCGACGACGCCGTCGTCCCCGTCGAACCTGCCCGGGTCGAACTCCTCGGGCCTGTCCCCCCAGCTGCGGGGATCCCTGCCGATGGCCCACGCGTTGACCAGTACCCGCGTCTTGGCCGGCACGTCGTAGCCGCAGATGCTCACTTGCCGCAGCGTCTCCCTCGGCAGCAGCAGCGGCGCCGCCGGGTTTAGCTGCAGCGTCTCCTTCACCACCGCCTTCAGGTACCTGAGCTTCGCCACGTCGTCGGGGTGCACCCTCTCCCTGCCGCCGCCGTCCACCACGGACCGGACCTCCTCCTGCGCCTTCCTCAGCATCGCCGGCCTCCGGATCAGCTCCGCCATCGCCCACACCATGGTCACCGAGCTCGTGTCCACGCTAGCGGTGAACACGTTCTGCAATTAATATAATAATACAGTGTAACATGCATGCATCAACGGATGATCTGTCGCTGAGTAGTGAGTAGTGTGAGTGTGAACGAACACGACGCGTGGCGTACCGAGAGCAGCCCTTTGATGTGGTCCCTAGTGAAGCGGAGAGAGCCGTCGACCTGTCGCCGTTGGCGGCGCTCCTCCATGAGGTCGACGAAGACGTCGATGAGGTCGGGGCCGTGGCCGCCGGGCGTCGTGGCGCGGGAGGACGGGTCCACCAGGTGCTGGTCGATGATGGTGTCGAAGAAGGCGTCGAGGTCCCTGAACACCCTCTCGCGTCGCGCGGCGGCGCCGGTGAGGCGGTCCACGAGGCGGCCGGCGGCGTTGGGGTAGTAGTCCTCGGCGGAGAAGCCGGCCTTGGCGCTCATGGCCTCGTCCAGCACGTCGTGGAAGTGCTTCTTGTGCGCAAACTGCTCCGTGCCGTAGATGTTCCCGAACGCCACCGTGCCGATGACGCCGTCCATGAGCCCGAAGATGTGGTCCTCCAGCTGCACCGCCTTGCCGCCGGCGCTGCTCAACCTGCCGATCAGCTTGTCCACCTGTACGCCATTTGCCCATTTTATATAGTGAGTGCCCTATGATCACGACAGCAATACATGGACGATGCAGTCATCATCATCTCCTACCTCGGCCTCCCTGGCGTAATCAGCGGCCCGGACGCGGCGCGCACTGAGGAACTCGACGACGAAGAGCTTGCGCATCTCGCGCCAGTAGTCGCCGTAGGGACTGAAGGCGACGTCCTTGTGGTCGTACGACAGGCGCCGGGCCCCCGGCGTGTCGGGGCGGCTGCAGCAGTCGGCGTCGCGCGTCTTCATCACCTCCCGCGCGGCGTCCGCCGACGTCACCACCAGCGTGGGCACGCTGCCCAGGCGCAGCAGCATGACGGGTCCGTGGCGGCGCGCCAGCTCCCGCAGGCTCTGGTGCGGCAGCGCGCCCAGCTGGTGCAGGTTGCCCAGGATCGGCAGCCTCGACGGGCCCGGCGGCAGGTGGAGGAGGACGCGCCGCCCTTTCTTGCTGCTCCAGCTCTTTCCTGCTCTTCTTTTTCTTGCAAGGAGGAGCAAGAACATAGGGACGAGAACCGCCATGACGACCGTGAGCTGCCATTGCTGAGGCGAGCTGCTGCTGCCTTCTACGATGACCTGCACCGCCATTGCTAGCTAGCTGTTGCTTAACGGTGCTAGCTGAGCTGAGGGCTGAGGCTTGGGCATCCCCATTCGCCATGGGGGCTATAAATAGGGCTCTGCTAAGTACTAGTAACTGACACCGTCTCTGGTAATTCAATGGCCGCATGCGTTTCTGCAAAACATTACGAGCTGTTAGGATCCTTTCATTTGCTGGAATTAAAATATACTTAATAAATTAGCCTATTTGGCTTGAAATTTAACATTCCACCACTTTCAAAGTTCACGTACAAGTCTATCTCAAATTCATAAGATGGGAGATGAAAATTGATTCCATGGATTATCATCCTATGTTTCTACTTTACAACTCACTCCTCTACGGTAGAAATACAACATATAAGTATGTCTCTTATATAGCTAACAATAATATACAGATATAATCCACATACAACTATATTAACTTAATTAATATATGTATAAATTATGATTATATTAAAATAAATTTAATTCTAAGGATCTAAACGGGGCTCAGATTTAGAATTAGGCTGGCAGCCATCAGTTGGATCGATCGATCGGTTGATGCAATGCATCTATCAGCAGATACCCAGCGCAACTAGTGACAGAAGAGACAAGGACCAGCTCATTGCAGGCAGTGGACAGATGACAATGACTTCGTTACTGACAGCTTATATTACTGTTGCAGCTATATACCAACATTATGGATTATGGTTATAGCACCAGAAACGATATAAGCCAATGCGGCGATGACACGTGGTTCACTGTCAGCACGCTAATTGATTTGTGGTTAGCAGTAAGCCGATGCGTGCGATATGATGCCACGTAGGAATAACAACCCACATGCATACATGCATGCTGACCAATGGGAGATGACGTTGCAGGGATGAGGTCGATCAGCAACCAATACGCATTCGCTTACGCAATTGTAGCTAACAAGCTAGCTAGCCAGCGTTCTTTTGAGCAAGAGTTTACCCTACAATACAGCACATGGCAAAAGTTTGCTCACATCATCGTCCTGCTGCCGGGATACCCAATACCTCTTTCTATACGTAGATTACAGTGCAGTACATCATCAATTATGCATTGTCTGTGTCTGTCCCCATTGCAGAACATTCAACGGCTACCGCTAAGAGCAGCACCAACGCAGAAAAAATATTGTTTCATATATGTAGAGAACAGATTCAGAGCTACCACCTATCAACCATCAGCTAAGGGGCGTCTGGATGAATTAAACTAAAACTTTAGTCCATGTTTTAGATGCTAAATAGAAGGTCTAAATATAAACTAATCATGGTCTTACAGAAACTAATAGACACTAATAGATGAGTAGAACTTATTAGAAAAAAGAAAATTTTAATTAGTCCATGTTTAGCCTATATTTCAACGACGGACTAAACTTTAGTCCGATAATCCGAACTGACCCTAAGTATATTATTGTCAATCATAGCTTTTGGAGTGCCAAACAGGAAATCATGCAGCTACCGTTTCCTCTCTCCAACTCTCTCTCTCTCTCCCTTTCTCTCTCTTCACAAACAGGTGATCTATTTCTACAGCGTGTGCTTCAGTGTTAGCTTCTGTAAAAGTGTTAGATGAGGCTGCGGTGCTTCTGCAGGTCATTTCGACCCTCTCCGTGGTTTCTGATCCATTTGACATGGCAGTTACAGACTGATGTGGAGGCTGGAGCAGCACGACATGGTAGTGCATTAGGGGTGGCCTAAGAACTAAAGGTAAACATATCCGCGCTGGTCAAACTTTCTCAAGTTTAACTGAGTTTATAAAAAATATTAGCAAAATTTATAGCTCAAATAAAGTTATTATGAAAGTATATTCAACGACCTCTAATGATACTAATTACGTATCATAAATATTAATATTAATATTTTCTTATATATCTGGTCAAAATTGAGTATGTTTGACTTCTCGGAAAGTAATAACGATAGATAAAAGAATTAAGTCCACTTTTGGCGCCTCAACTATTGTCTTGGTCTAATTTTAACCCTCAACTATAAAACCGTCTAGTACCGGTACCTCAATTGTCAAAACCGTTCACTTTTAGCACCTGGGCGGGGGCAAGACTGCTTTGACCGACGTTGAGCGGTTTTGACCACGCCACGCTGGCGTTGACCGCCACGTAGGATGCTGATCTACATCTCAGTGACATGTGGGGTCCGCACATCACCCACTCATTCTCTCTCCTCCTTCCTCTAGCTCCAGTAGCATTCGGTTGCGGCGTCATCTCCATCCCCGGCATCAGCCGCTCGCCCGAGGCCACATCGTCGACCGCCCCTCCACCGGCCTTGACCACGGATAGCTGACCCCGCCCACTCGATTCCGCCCCACTGTTTGGCGTCCGTCCCACCACGAGGAGACAGCCCGCGTAGCCTCTTGTGCCACGGCCCTGCGTGACCTCCGTGCCCCACCGGTGGTCTCCATGCCCACAGCTGCGGCTCCATGCCTCGCGGTCGGGCGGCCCCTGCGAAGACCTCCACGCCTGTGGCTGGCTGCCCCCGGAGGAGGCACCCACGGCCCCTGTCCCTGTGCAGCTTCGTGCCCGCAGCCTGTTCCCGTGGTCTGCTGCGGAACCGGCGAGCTCGGCTGTGGCGTAGGGAGGCGACATCTACGCGCTGCCGTGCTTCTCGGAGGCCGCCGACGAGGACGAGTCAGCCATGGCGTTCTTCTCCAGCTGCCCGTCGTTCCACTTGGACGACTTCGTGTCCCTATCGCCCAAGGCGCCACCTCCACCAAAGCAGCGCAGCAAGAAGTGCTGCACGGCGGTCTCCCGGCTGCGCACGGCGCTTGCCACGGCCATCTCCGCCGGGTGAGGGTTTCCTGCGCGCAAGCCTGCCGGATCAGCCACCGCCGCACCTTGATCCGCCCTCGCCGGAGGTGGACGGGGCAGATTCGCCCTCACCGTCATGCCTCCTGATCTGCCGCCGTCGCGCCTCGATCCGCCCTCGCCAGAGGTGGATGGGGCAGGTCCGCCCTCGCCGCATGCCGCACTTCGATCCGCCCTCGCCGGAGGTGGACAGGGCACATCTGTGCTCACCGCTGTGCCTTGATTCACCATGGCCGTGCCCCGATCCACCGCCGCCGCGCCTCGATCCGCCGTGTGGGGGCCACCGGAGAGGGCCTTGTGCGAGAGGAGAGAGAGCGTCTGCCAGTGAGGGAGAGAGAGAGAGAGAGAGAGGGCGCTACGCGAGTGGCCGCCGGTGAGGGAGAGAGAGACAGAGGAGAAGGTGGTGCTCGGGAGGAGAGGAGAGAGAGCGGTGGTGTGCGGCTGTGGGTGACGGAGAGAGAGAAGCGTAGGGGGGTGGGCTCATAGGGCTTGTAGGGTAGAGGCGGGGCGGGCGCAAAGCAGGCTACTGGAGCTGGAGGAAGGAGAGGGAGGGAATGAGTGGGTGACGCGCGGGCCCCACATGTCGCTGAGATGCAGGCCAGCATCCTATGTGGCGGTCAACGCCAGCGTGGCGTGGTCAAAACCGCTCAACGTCGGTCAAAACAGACTTGCCCCCGAGCCAGGTGCTAAAAGTGAACGGTTTTGACAGTTGGGGTACCGATACTAGACGGTTTTGTAGTTGAGGGTTAAAATTAGACAAAAACAATAGTTGAGGGGCCAAAAGTAGACTTAATCTTAGATAAAAAGGACGGAGGGGGTAAAGGATTATCTGGCCGTTGTAGCCTACTATACATGTTACCACTGTAATTTAATAAAAGAGAAGAAAAAGGCATAGCTACTGCAGCAACTGTATTTTTCTACAGCTGATTAGACTGAGATTCTCTCGATCTCTCTGTATCCAAAAGAATACAATTCTAAAATATTGCTAAATCAAATGATTTAACATTTAATCAAATTTATAAAATGATACTAATATTACCATACTAAATCTTCTACACCTAGAAAGGAAAATACATGACAGACAATATTTTGATTTTCCATAGAATGATTTCCTGATTTCATGTATTTGTGATGCATATCAGTTACAAGAATAAAATCATAACATAGTAATATCCTAAAGAATAAAACTCCCGGGAGACAATTGTCGTGGATTTGTGATGCAGCTTGTCAAAAGTAGTACTTTAATTGTGAGACATATATGAATCAGGAATAATAAGGGAACAACTTATGAGAGAATTAGAGTAAATTAAGCATAAGTCATTTATCTGTATCAAGAAGTATTGGCTTCAAGATCCATAAACTATTCAAAAAGAGATATGCTTGAGACAAACCTACACTACAGGGCAATGTCAAAGTTAACTCATTTGTATCAAACTTCTCTAAGTTTGGCCAAATTCATAGACAAATTTATTAGCAAATTCAATCCACATCTTGCAGAAAGACCAAATCAAAATTTGCTCATACAAGCACACACTTGGGTTTAGATCTACAGATAGCCAAATAGCTTAAATTAGGGTTCCAGTGCTAAGTTTTACCCAAAAGGAAGGGAAGAGAAGGGACAGGCATACCTAGTGTTGTGGATGTTCATCGCTGCAGATCTAGACGCCTGGGTGCCAAGGCGGAGCCAGAGCGAGCGTGGAGGGGCCGGGGTTAGAGGCGGACAAGACGGAGGCACAGGGCATAGGGCGGTGGGCATGAACGGCGGCTCCATCATCACTGGCAGCTTGGAGGAGAGGCGTGTCCTGCGGCGGTGGCCTAGAGGACGGTCGAGGTGTGTCGTGCGGTGGCGGGCCCTGGGGCCATGCCTGGACGACCAGCGGCATGCCTGAGGCCATGCCCTGGTGGGCGGTGGCTGGCGGCGAAGCTCTTGGTGCGGCAGGAGGCAGATCTAGGGGTGGCGGCGGACCTAGGGCGACGCGCAACGTCCATGGAGCTAGGGTGGCTGGCAGCGGGCGACGAGCGACGGATGTGGAGCGGAGATGGGGCGGCGGACCTGGAGCTAAGAGCGATGGGTCGTGATGGCGCGGGCTGCGGCGCGTTTGGGATAGGGCGCGGGGGTGGCGGCCGCTAGAGGATTAGGTTTAGGGGGTTTTTTGTTTTTTTTTATTTTTTCACTTTCTTTTCTATTTCATACCGTGCCAATACCAATAGGAAGGCGCCATTGTCGAAAACAGGACGCCAATGCCGAAAACCGGGCGCCAAAGCCAAATCCATGCGCATAACTTATTTTTTCTATGCCTACGTAATTTTAATCTGTGTGTAATACAAAACCGACAGAATAATTGTGTTTTTCCCGTGCGTGTATAGTTTTTTCCTGTGAGTTTTATCAAAACTGATAGAATAATTTCAATTTTTCTATGAGTGTATATTTTTTCCGTGTGTCTTTTGTCACGCACAGAAAAATCATACAATTATCTTGTGAGTTTTCGTATTTCTCTGTCGGTATATTCTAGAACCGACAGAATAATTGGAATTTTTCTGTGTGTAGAAAAAAATGCACAGAAAAATTAGTCACCCACAGAGCAATTCGAGTTTCCAGTAGTGTTATAAATATAATTTTATAAATTGCTTTAACATTTTATAAAATAGCGAGGGGCTCTCCTTCTATAATACCCGTTAGATATAGATATCATTTTTTTAATATCTCACTTTTTCTAAGTTCGTTTTTTTCTGCAGTACAGAACAAAAAATCAGCAATTCTTGTATACTCTAGCTAGCTGTTGATGGTAGTTAACAACCAACTTAAACCATCAATTAAACATGCATAAGGGCATAAATATAATCACCAATGAAGGTTTAGGGTTTTAAACTAATAAATTCCATAAATTTTGGTGAATCTGTGTTTACAGCAGGGTTTAATCAGAAAACCGTCGAGGAGGACCTAATCATCAAAGAAAAATACGGAGTTCCACCGTGGTACCTACATGGGAAAGACACTAGAAGGGTCCAGAAGCCACGTCACCAAAGCGGAGGGCCACCCCCTGGTCCCACCTGTCAGCCAGCTTCGTATGACAGTCTCCCACCGCCTTTGAGGTTGTATCTAGGCTATTGCTTAAGTCGGTTTAATCCAAGGGCTCACGTTGGAACCTCAGGGCTATATAATCCAACCCCTGCCTCCCCCAGGAATCATAAGTCATCAAGTCCTTTGAGAATACAGAAACCCTAATCTCCTTAGAGCTCTTCCTCCTCCATAGCATAGCTAGTTAGAATAGATCTAGAGGGAGGCAAGCAGGACTTCGCTTAGATTCCCGATCTTGTCAAGAGTGTGGTTCGGTATAAACTTTGTACCCCTCTCTCTTTTGTTTCTCCATTATTTTTATATGCTAGTTACAATTGTTATGACAATCTCAATATTCATCTTATTCATGTTCTTCATTATGATGTTCATCGTCTACTTTTATTATATGCTTAGTATAGCTAGTTTATCATTATGTTTATGCATAAGTTCGTATAACGTTCACTCCAAGGTACCATGGGTGGGTGGTCAACATTGTGTAAGCGTGCTGCTTATACGTTGTTTACCTACGGATACACCCTATATTCTGGGTCATGTGGTAGATCACGGATGTGACACTCCTATTGAGTCCTTTGTAGTCCACTCTCCAAATATAGGTGCACGTAGGGTCCGATTACGAAGGTAGAACGAGCTCTGCCCTCAATCTTCCTTAGTAATATCCCTTCTGTGTAGATATGATGATTATTTTAGCCATGATTACTAGGTGTAATTGCACTATAATCAAATGTATACTTTGACTTGTAATTAAGAATAACTTAGGAATTATTCCTCTAATATTCTACCTGACCATGCTAATTGAAAGGACCTAGGATGCCGTCTAGAGGGGGGTGAATAGGCGTTTCTGAAAATTAACACCTTTAAATGCGGAAACGATTAGGAAAGGAAGTTTCCAAAATGGAAACTCCAAATAAGAGTAATACCACCCCTCACAAGTTAGCCACAGAGTATGTAAAAGATACTAAATAAATCTAGGAGCCACAATCCTGCAACACAACGATTAGTGCACGGATCAAATAATTTCAGCACGGAGCTCTAATACCGGATGTGTCCGGTAGCTGTACCGGACGTGTCCAGTATACACGTATTCTACAGAACAGCCTGGCACAGTGATCAATACCGAACGTGTCCGGAATACACGGTTTTAGTGGAACAGCCCTAAACTTGCTCCTTTCAATTTCTAACTTCAAACCAAACTGCAGGTACCTACTAGAGATGACAATATACACAGATAATCTGCACATACTAAAACATATAGGAGACTCCCCCTAAATCATTGCATCCATAGGGTGCATGTGTGTGTGACAAAGTAAAACCGTGATGCATATGACAAGATATATCACATAAAAATAAATATAAAGGCATCACATCAAATATTTTCATTCTAGCATGCATAGTCCTTATGAAAATAAATACAACACATGTATGTCACACATAGCACTCATTACACATTTTCTCAAGTCCACAAGCCACTAATATATAAATAAAGATCATGTCTCAAGAGATACATAGATAAAGCATAAGTATAAGTCTCATCTCTCACATGATACAATCTATCTCAAACTCAAGATACACCAATGAAGCTCAAAAACTAAAATGAAGCTAAAAAAACTACGGCCTGCAGTACATATCTTCAGGTACAAAGATAAGCAAATGAAACAAATATCTTGAAGCTTTAATCAGTCTCTCTCCCCCTTTGTCTTCTATCACCACAACGGTCCAACAATGACGTACTGGGGACAAAGGGGCTGTAAGCTATCTCTAAAAGCTGTGATCACTCATCACCATCTTCATCTCCACCAACATCCTCATCATCTGAGCGTGGAGCACCGGTTGGACGAGAACCACCCGCACCAGACAGGTCATAGCCACCAGACCCATAGTAGCCAAAACCACCTGT